TTATACTTTCTATGTAATTAGTTAAAGATAAATAAGATTTTTTGTATTTCTAGTACGATATGTACAATTTGCAGCGTCAGGAAAATGTTATGTGGCAGTAAAAATTAAAGTAACCAACATATTTTGGGCTTCAAAATCGTATAAAGTATTTAAATAATTTATTGAGAATATATTTTTGTTTTAAACACGCTTTTAAAGATTATTAAAATGTTTGTTTTCCTTTTTTTATAATTTAAAAGTACGAATACGAAATTTGAAATCCAGATATTAAATCACGAATCGTGATACGAATGAAATTTGAACGTAAGAATATAAAGTGCTATAGGTAAGTTGTTCTTGGGACTAAAGTAACTTTGTCAATTTAAGTCAATAATCACAACTGAAATACTTAAAAGGAATAGTTATAAATAACACTTTATGACATAGTACATTTTATAGAGCATTGAATATTCAATATACACGGCTATATAATATATATTCTATTCATAAAACATCGCAATATTTATAGCTAATAATATAACGTGAAATAAAACGATATTTATTATTCTAAACAGCTGATGTAAATATTACACGCGAGTTCATTGAATGTATGTTTTCACCTTGATATTAGCGCTCAACTTTAAATCCACTTAAGAAAACAGTACTGATGATAACAGATACCACAGCTGATAACAAGAGACCTTGAATTTCATAAGAACCGCATACACTGGTACGGGAAAGTGCAACAAACTTAATTTCGTATTATCGAGCATATACACTGTGAGAACATCACTAGCTTTTTTCTGTTACGAATTACGCGGATTTCGCTTGGGCAAAAAAGACGCGTGCGTCGCGCGAGAGTCGAAACAGTTCTGGTGGCAGCGCGCAGCCCATCTGCGCAGTTGACAACACCGCGGCCCTACTTCTGTTGCACTTGCATCCTGAAACGGCTGCGGTTTCATTATTGTTTTACACGGCGACCGGTGAGTCAATGGCGAACTTTATCTCTTCATTATGTGGCTAATCGTGTAACTAAACGTGTCTGAGTAAAGAATGTATGAATGATTTGTGACGAAACAAGGAAAAAATTACAGAACTTGTAAAATGTAGGATAGAATAAGAACTGTCTCGTTTGTTTGTTGCCACTAAATGGCTTAAGAGAATTGCTTAATGTTAAACGAACAAAAGACCTAACGTATTTTATTTAACCATAAATAAAGCTGAAGTGTTTGTTTGTTTGTTTGAACCCGATAAATCTCAGGAACTACTAGTTTGAGTTGAAATATATTTTTTGAAGGCCAACAGGAGTGAACATTAATCATCTTTGAGGGTTTGCAAAGCGTACGCTGTGAAAACCGTTCGACATACCGACAAAATATGTTTGAAAGAATGATAGCTCTTTAAATGATCTAAAGAAATGTCCCCGACACTATATGTGTATCTTTTAAGATTGACTTGTAAGAAGGAAAGGACGCGACCGACGACAACATTTATTTTATTTATTTATTTTTATTTATTTATTTATTTACATATATACACTGTCATAACAGGTTGGATCCCAATGCGACAGAGATCTAAAAACCACTTATTGAACCACATAATTTTAAATAGTGATTATTTACACTATTCGTGGAATATCTCGTAAACCTCTTACAATCTCTTTATGTCACAAACTAAAGAATATTTTATTGCTGATGCTGTCTCTGTCTGAGTGACAAGTACTTAGGTGCACGTATTATGAACTCGCATATAAAACTCGTCCACCCCATTTATACGCCGCTTAGGGTGAGGTCCCCAATTCAAAAAGGGCAGAGACCCTCGAAACGTTCGCAATTCTGCAGCTCTTAATTAAAACCTAGTAATTAAACTGATGACTTTTCGCGACTTTGTGTGTCGTACAAGTATATTATCTGCAATGGCATTGATTTCTCACACACGTACTTGTAAGCACTGTTTTAGTTTAAATTACCATTGAAAATGAATCTTACAAAAACGAGTTTATTAGTTATTTACGAAATAATTTATGAATTGGAAATTGTATTACAAATTCTTGTATTACAATTGATCCCAGGGATCCCACGTTGGGAAATACTAGTATATGTATACTATGTATATACTAATATTATAAATGCGAAAGTAACTCTGTCGCTCTGTCTGTCTGTCCGGCTTTGACGATGAAAGTGCTAAACAGATATAATTGAAATTTGGTACACAGATATTTTAGGGCCTGAGAAAGGACATAGGCTACTTTTGTATGCAAAAAAAGGGTTGTTAGGGGTTGAAGAACGGGATGAAAGTTTGTATGGAAATTCGTGGTTTTTGAAGCTAGAACTATGAAACTTTCTTCTTTGGCTTCTTGGGAATAGGAGTGGGAGTGGGAGTGAGAGTGGGAGTAAGAGTAGGAGTGTATGAGGTAGAACTTACAACATAGATTGGCTGCCTTAAATACGCTCTATTCCACGCGGACGTAGTCGCGGGCACAGACAGAAATTTCTATATTAAATATTGTTAGTCTGTGTTTAATAATCAGTAAGAACATAAATTTATGAAGAGTTCGTATTTTACGTTTTAGCGGGACGCATTAGTTATTCAAAAAATCTTTGTCATTTAACACTGCACATAATCTATTTACATGTGGAATACATAACCAAAAATTGTTGCATATTTTTAATATGGTACAATTCAAAACGTACAACTAATCTTCGTTATGTATTTTAGCATAATCTCAAAGTCAAGGAAAAGCATTAGCTATTTTCACATGAGTCGCAGACTGTACTTGACCGAATGGCCTTGTATTGTTTTAGTTCATATTGCTATATCTAGATCAAGTTCGGTGGGATATCGGTCAAGGGGTGAATTTTCGTATAACTAATCTTTACTTAAACGTCTGGAGCAAATAGAGTTTGCATGCTTCAGTATATATATACACTTGTATGTGAACCTTAACCGTCGTTTGAATCTCGTGTATAATAAAAATAAATAGAGCCATGGCTAGAGATAGGGGGAAGAAATCCCGGGACCTTGTGGAATTTTTGTGAAATTGAATTTTTGGAATTAGAAAAATAATTCCGAAATTATAACATGATAACAATAATAAGAAACATAATTGCTAAAAGATTTTTTTTGCTCATTAAATCGTTTAAATACTGTCTATAGTTTACGCGAGTAGTACACATTTAAATAAAACACTTTAACGGTTTAAAACGCGATATATTAGTTATTAAATCGTTTATTGGAAAACTCGACAAAGCAAATTCTAAATTCAATTTGGAGATATTTTGTAACCACACGCCTCCACATCCTTGATGTCCCGATGTTTCCAGACCCCTAAATCCGTTCATAGACATGACATTTGACACATGCACTCCGGCTTTGAATAAAATCTTAAATGGACAAGAAATAGGAAGTTCTATCAGAAAATTTAGACTAGTGATTTAAATCTAAACGCTAACTAACTATGGCAGGTTTGAATCACGATACCGTTCTCCGACGTGTGTGTAACGTTTCTTCAAAAAATGAGTGTCTGAAGGCGCCTTTATTTAATTCCGGTCTATTGTGCCATTATTGTGGATTTTCTTATTCTTAAAAATTCTTAAAGGTCTACGAGCGTCGAGCTCATAAAATTCTTAAGGCATTTTAAAACGGTATTGTTTAGTGGAATCCAGTTGTGATGATAACTGCATTATTTGAGCGCCCACTGTGCATTCATGAATTTTAATTTTCCGCTCTCGTCGCTTGAACGGGTTATTTGAGGAGCTTTAACTTTATTTACTGCAACTTTTCAACTGTGTTTTTCACCGTTTCTTTTTTTCCTAACCAATGCTATTCCCCTGATATATCCCTATTGATTGCCAATTTCAATGAAACCCCAATTGACAATGTTGTGTTTAATTGAGTAATGGAGAAATTGCAGGGTCCAAATCACTATAGTTTTTGAGAAGTACCTATAGATATTTTGTTGATTTATTAAATTCGTTTTCATAACAAAGCATGATTATTAAACGATTTTAGTTTTTAAGTAATTTCAGTGTTTTGACTTTGAAATCATTTATTAAACTTCATATTGCGTAATTTTTTATTCTTTATTATTATTAGCTATCATGAGAAAGGAATCATTTTATAAGAAACAATTTGTTTGAAATATCTACTACAGGTATGTCCTGAATATGCAAACAATTTCATAACGACGCAAATAAGCAGGGCGAGTAAAGAAATATTTTATATTATATTACTATCTCATAGTAACATAACGTACTGCTCTGTAATGAAATTCCGTATTTATTCATCCATATAAACATAAAGTAGAAGCAGCAAACTAACCCATTACAAAAGAAAATATTTTACCTTAGTATAACTCGTGAAATTTGTAACTGTATTTCGATAACAACAAATGTTTCACTCCTTTATATATAACTGACAGAAATGTTATTTAATTATTGACACAACTAATTAAGACACACGCAAATTCTTCATGCACACATACAAGCATAATTTAATGAATAAAAGCAAACATTTTTATAATAAACAGTCATGTTAAGAATTTGACAAGAACACCCGAAACTTTTAAATACGCAATTCACAAACTTACAACGCAATTTCAAAACTCGCAATAGATAATAATTGAAAGTCCTCCTTGTTAAAAGTTAGCAAGAGTAAGAAGTAAGAAAATACGTATAAAATTACAAAGTTCTAAGGATCGTTGACCGGCCATTCGTGACATTGTTTCGTGTTTAGGCATAATTTTAAGCCTAATAAACTTTTAAGGATAAAATTAAATGCCTTAACTGGATTAGAAAACTTTTACCTTTTAAAACATTATTGTAGTATATACTTATGTTATGTACGCAATAAATAACAAGCCTTAATAAATAGTTAAACCTGGCCAGTTATAAAGAAAAAAATATGAATCTGTTTGACAGCTGTCAAGAGGTGAACATTGTCAAAATTTCAGTGCATTTTCGCGGCATTCGCGGTAGAGGTTTTTTGTGGTTATTTTTTGATCGTTTACAAAAAGTGCAATCATGTCGTCGGATTTATGTGCCGACGACTTAACCGATATAGACATAACTTTAATGACTTTACGGAAGCCGACTGAATTGAAGCGAGTAATTGATTCGATACCGAAGCCCGTGAGAGCTGTTCCGAAGAATGGTCTTCCGGTATGGTATAGGCTTGGTTTAGAGAACAAGTTGCCAGTGCCGAAAATGCCGAAGGGAAAAATTATATTCTCGCGGGGAAAAATTGGTGAAGATGTGAGTATTGTAGCTACTGGCCTACATATATGTGTGGCATAGATAAGTCTAGTTTTGTTTTTTACAACTCAATTTTTAAAGGCAATTCGTAAATGTATTGTAAGGAATTTTCGTAATAGAATATATATGCCATTTTTCTCAAAATGTTTTATTTTCAGTTAGTCAGACTTCTGGTTAGAATTACATGTATGAACGATGTATGTTAAGATAAGTTTCTCAAGTTGTTTAAAGAATACAATGTATTTCTAGTTGTCTTTTCTAGTTATTTTTGGTAGCAATAAGTAATTCCAATAATACTTTTAAATTTTTCTGTTCTAAAATTATACTACGTTTGACAGGAACAACTTCTTATTGCTTAAATAACATTTACATTAGATTACGACTTGTGTTGAGAAGACAAAAGTATTCAAAGCAATACAATAAGATTTCGACAGACAAGCCGCGACTTCTGCGCCTTTTCACATGTAAATTACATTAACGTATGTAAATACGATGGCTTAAATGAACCAAACATTTACTGAAAGTGTAATACAGGAAAATCCTAGTATATCTCTCAATGCGAACTGAATATTACATATTAAACAGTACTATAATAGGATTAGAGTGACATATGAGACACCAAATCGGCTGTTTTTTTAATATTATTTTGAGTCTTATAATATCTTTGTATGAATGAATCAGTGTATTACTATAGAATTGAATGTTATGAAATACGATAATTCAGAAATCACAGAAGATTTGTAATAATAAATATATTGAAATAAAACATGATATTAGTTAAATACATATATCAATCATAGAGTTTGAAAAGTAAACCACTCAGCAATGCTGGGAGTGAGAGATAGTTTGAAAATTTCCTAGTATGTATTTGTTGTTGTGTTATTGCACAAACATCTATCATCAGATAGATTGAAATAAAATATATTAGAGAATAGCTTAACAAAATAGTTAAATAAATACTAAGCATTGTCTTTAAATTTTTATTTAAATAGTATTTCTATTTAAACGGTTTAAAACCTGAAATATATTAATTAACTTGTTTTTAAATAAACTAAGGCTCGACCTTACATTTGCTTTGATGCAACCGTGACCGTAGGGCGTAACCAGCTTAAAAATCTCGCGTTTTAAGCCGTTAAAAGTGTTTTATTTAAATAACTGTGATGACGTTTCTATTCTACTTTTAATGTCTTAATTAAATAAACATACTTTAAATAACATAAAGACACAGATATATTTCTTATAATTGTTAAATATTATTCTTCATACTATATTAAAAGTTAGTCGAGCACGGCTGGCTGGTTTATTGTAAAATATTAAATCCTAGCGATATGAAATCAAACTTGTATGCGATCTATTTTTGCGATGGACCATCGACAGATGGAAAAGCCGTGGAGTATGAATTTGCGTTTCAATTGGAGGACTGGATTTCCAAATGTCCAAAGGGAGAATAGTTCGTCAGCGCCTCTTCACATTTTGTTTTCACCTTCCATCAATTTACCTTTTAGCTTGTCGGTCCTTCTGTGAAACAAATTGCGCGGTTTTAAGTTGAATTTATATTTTGATCTATTCTCGTCACGATGACGAGAACGCAATTTCCCTTCCATTCCGTCGCTTAGAAATAGGAAGTCGTTATTCTGAAAGGTTTCCATAAAGTATTTCGTGTCGCGGGGATTTTTTAATGGCCACGCTTTGTTTGGTGCTTCAAAGAAATAATAAACATTTGCATAGAAAGCTGGTGAAACAAATTATGAATTAATTTTTTGCTCATTGAAGTCCTTGGCTCTTCACAAAGCATATAAAAGGAACCAAAAGAAGGTTACTGTTTTATTTTTTTTGACTAAATAACAAACGCTATAAAGACATGTTTGTATGTGACGTTTGAGTAATGATTGTGGATACGAAATATTACGAAAGACTTGGTCTTCGGGATATTTTTCTACACTTTGTTTATATTAAAAAACAGTCAAGACTATATAACATATAAGCTTATGTAAACAATCAACTGAATACTGTCTATAGTTTATGCGAGTAGTACACATTTAAATAAAACACTTTAACGGTTTAAAACGCGATATATTAGTTAAACTTATTTGAAAATGATTTTAACTCGCCAGTCTCTCCGTGACCACGGCTGCTGCAAAGCATCCGAAACGTCGGGCCGAAGTTAAAAATCATTTTCAAATAAGTTTAACTAATATATCGCGTTTTAAACCGTTAAAGTGTTTTATTTAAACAATCAAATAGTGTATATATAGAGATACGTTTTAATCATATCTTATCAGTTAAACATCGATTATAAATAGATCAAAATTTACGACACGGGCAGAACTTGAACCGGCATCCACAGCGTTCCGTGCACTGAATTTAAAAGTGCTGAATATTGAAAAAATTTTTTATATTATATAAAGTTAAATAAAGAATTATTATTAATTGTAATATTCATATCTTTATTCTTCTTTATTTATCATATAAAAATGTATAGTGATAGTTTAATACCGGATTAAAACAACAACATTTATCTTAAAAGCTATAAGCGCAAAGAGAAAGTTTAATATCGTTTAATGGAAGGAAATTTATCGTTTTCAGCGTTATTTGGGTGACTTCCGATTAAGTCTCGGTGGCCTCGATGTATTAATTAGGGCTACTGGATAAAGATAACCTTTCTAGCTGGATAACTTCAGTATCAAGGGAGTATTCATCTAAAATATCTGAACTAATAGATTACTGATAAAGGGTTGGAAGTACTGTCTCTATTTATAGTGTATTTTTTCTTACTTGGCATTTTTTGTACAGGTATAGGTTAATTGTTTTATAGTTTCTATAAAAACGTGATATGAAATACATAAGCAAAATATTTAAACTACTTACAGAAATAACAAAAAATATTTTAAATACTGTCTGTACTTTACGCGAGTAGTATACACATTTTAATAAAACACTTTAACGGGTTAAAACGCGATAAGCATCCGAATCGTCGGGCCGTAATTAAAAATAATTTTCTAACAAGTGTAACTAAAATATATATAATATATAAATATAAATATACACTTTGATAAACATCGTTCTATATTTACTTGGTTCATCATCAACTACCAGATTTGTGTTGACGCGTCCTACTGATTGAATGGAATGTATTTGAGGAAAGTGAGATTTACTTCATGTAAAATATATAGCACGTTTTAAAACATGAAGGCAGTTTTAATGTTTATATATGTACGAAGTGGAGAAAAGTGTTTAATACTTATCCGCGTTGTGACTATAGATGAAGTATTACAGGTTTACTCTTGAAATTAATTAATCAATTTAAAAAAAACACTAAACAGTTAGAAACCTTAACTATATTTGTAACATATTTTAATTTTAATTTAACTACGGCTCGATAATAACTATCCTCATTATTGTCAAAGATTTTATACTTCCAAATCATTATATTAAATTATTAAAAGATCATTTCTCTCTACAGGTTAGACGACTCGGTCTCGGTAAAGACGGCCCTTGCCCGTCCTTCGACCTCACAGACCCCTACTGCAACAACGTCTCCTACGACTATGTCCCAGTGCACGACCCCCACTTAGCACATCACTTCGCCCAGAAACCAGCGAGAAACAGAATGAAACAGCTTGGCTATTGTACTAAAGATGGCAGAGCTGTCTGCTCGTTAAAAGATTTCAACCAGTATAGGAAATACCTTTATAATCAATTCATGGACAGGATTCATATGGAAATGAAAAAATTGGTAAGTAGTAAGCTTATAAATCTTTTTAGATTGAAATAACTATACGACACATGCAGATGTTTTACCGGCATCCAAGACGTTCAGTAATGTTGCTTTAACCAATTGAGCTACCGTGTCAACAAGACCTGACCGTGTCGTAATTTTTTTTCCATTCAAATAGATTTTTTTTTTACATTAGAAAAATATTACATTTTTTAAAGAGTAAGAATCCGTGGTAAATACTCATAAGTTTTAGACAATAATTAACAAAAATCTAGCAAGATCTACGCTAGGTAAGAAGCATTAACAAACTCGCCGCAGGTTTGAACTTATATACAATATGGAAGGAACGTAATTTTTCATCAATAGCATTGCACGAGTTCAGTTTATCACTGTTACCTAGCTTTCAAGTATAGGTTATCAATATATAGATTTTTAGCACTTCGCAATTTGACTTTCGGGCACATCACGACACATGTCCATACACACACAAATAAGAATCGAACAAGGTCTTGTAATTACGCACACAAATCTAACTAAGTTATTACTTCCAAGAATATATATCGAATTGTATTGTTTTATGCAGGATGAGCGAGCCAAAGATGACCTCACGCTAAAGCGCGTAGATGTGGACGTGGCCCGAAGATTGCAAGTATTCACCAAGGCAGAGCGAGCGAGAGAACATATGGAGAAGGTGGCGCAGGAGCATGCTGATGAATGGGCCGAAAAGAAGCGACTGTAAGTATGTCTATACTAATATGTACAGCGAGTTTGATTGTTTGAACGCGCTAATATCAGGAACTGCTTGTTCGAATTCAAAAATTATTTTTTGTATTGACTGGATCATTTATTGAGCTTGAGGCTGTCAACATCAAACTACTAACAATAGGAGCGAACAACAACGGGAAATGTGGATAAAAGGGGAAAAACTACTCATCTTTGTGAATTTATGTTGCGTACACTGCGTAAACGGTTCAAAATATGAAAAAATATATAATATGTACGTATGAATGATTTCTCTTGGAACGATCTAAAAAATGTCTATGACAGTATATATCTATCTCATAAGAATGACTTGCAAGATTGACGTCGTGCGGGACAGATATAATTTATAAAATTCGATTCTGTGCAATTGAGAAGAACAACGCAATGTGCTTTGTTTTATGTATTAAATGATTTGAAAATAGAAATTGATAAACAATATAGAAATAAAATAAAACCTTAACAGTGTTATGTGGTAAAAGCGATTGATTGGAGTTTAGTCTAATCCAATATAGTTGAAGACTACATAAGGTTAACCGTTCGGCATACTTTATATCAACGTGTCAACTTATCCAATCATAGTTGGGTTTGTTTATGTAATCAATCTGATGGAATGTTTGGTTCAGCTGCTATGCTGACATCTGGCTGGGATTTCGATTCAAATGTTAGTTTTGTTTGCTCTCAGTCGATATTGACGTGATAGCATCGAATAGCTGAATACGTTAATTACTAAAGCTCTTTTTAAAATTGGAATATTGGAGATTATTTTTTTGTAATAGAATGAATTGAAAAATGTTTCAAAGCTACATTTAAAAGTAGCTGATCTGGGAATCGTTTTACTTGCAAGTTTAACTAGTATTATGTGGATACAACTGTAATAAATGAATTGATATGAGTTCTTGCGAGTTAATCTTAAAAGAAAATACAATATCTAAAATCGTTTACAACATAGCATATGTTGCAAACATTTTTGGATCATTTAAAAATCAAATAAAATTGTTATGCTATACACATATTTTGGTTTCCTTTTTCTTCCACATTTCAAGATTTTCTTCGCTCATAGTGGTCCCTGTGGTTTTATAAGCCTTTCTCGATAATGGACCACCTCTCTAGCCAAATGGTTAAACGTATTGCCTAGCATTGCGTTAAGAGCGAGAGGTCCTGGGTTCGTTCAATCGGTCAGGCAGGGCACAGAAGTCTGAACAACTACGTGCCTGTTGAAGAAGGGATCAGTAAAAAAAGACACAGAAATGTCTTCGCCCCATGCCCCAATAGAGGGAACCGGGATTACACAGAAAAACAGAAAAACCTCGATAAATGGTCTATTAAACACCAACCAGTTATTTTAAGTATTAAGTAAAGATTAAATTCTATTCAGCTTTATTATATTACTTTAAAATTTTAACCTCACCATCAATTTCAAATTGCGATGTATGAAACGCAAACAATTACGGAGGCAGTTTACCGTTAAAACTAATATTGCGTAAAGGGAAAATGAAAACAAAGTGTTGCTATTAATCACGAAGTAGCCCTCACGTAGTGGGCAAAGCTTGTTAGTCTTTCGCCGCTGGAAGTATGTTTTAAATAATTTATCGATACGCAAAAACAAAAAACGAACGCGTCCTCCTTTTACTCAAATATCTTTGTTGTTTAATGCAAATACACTTTTTGTTGTAAAAACTAAAATTGTTGAATTTTTTATAAATTTGTTGTGCCGTTAGAAATCTAAAACGTGGTTTTATTTCATGAGGATTTCATTTCACAAAAAACGATGTATATAAAGCAAAAATGTATTTCACTATTTCATCGCTATTAGCAAGATAGAAAGTAAGTATCCCTTTATCTTTATTATTAACATACATCAAACTGGAGGTCTTATATAATTATTATATATATATTTTACGATAGAGGTGGACAGACCCCAGCCCATTTTGGGTTGTGATATTCGGATATCCACAGAGTAAAATCGAAACGCGATTAAACTTCTTTAATGAATGCTTATTAAGGCTTTTTCATCTGTGGACGCCAATTCGTTACTATGAGAATACTTGCGATATTCCTACCTCCGATTTAATATTCAGATTTCAAAAAATCCAACATGCTTCAGAAAAGAAATAAATGAATTAGAAACATGTTGTACAGACAAGCGAGACCGTCTGCAATTATATATTTAATAGAAATGGTCTTTATATGGAATGGAATTATCGTAAGCACAAATGGACCAAACTTAGATATCAGCAACTATGTATGCCATAAAGGTATTACACGAACCGTGCCCAGTGCAAATCCGTTTAACGTAGATGAGATATTCAAAGGGGTTATATTAGTGGGATTAAAGTAGAATATACGACGTTATAATTAATCTTCCTTTAAGGTATTAATTGAGAATGTTTTAAGCTACGCCGTAGATGTGCTACGAGATGCTGTAGCGTCATTTACCCTATCACAAAGGTCTATACGTTTATTATTACACTAGCTGTCATGACTAACGTTCTTTTGCCATATTAAGTATTTTGAGTAAAAACGATTCTTGCGAGTCAATCCTATATATAGACATCGTGGATTATTTTTACGTCATTTAAAGACGAATCAGAAATGGAAACTCTTAAGGATAAATAATTTTGCCCTCTGTTCCTCCTTCTTTGCTCCTATCAGATTAGACGCAGCCTTATATTTTGAGCCTTTCTCGATAAATAGTCCAACCAGCATAAGAATTTTTCAATTTGAACTAGTAGTCCCTGAGAGTAGCGTGTTTTATCAAACTCTTCAGCTTTACAATATATACATACTTTTTATACATGTGTTCAAATACAGCTTGGCCAAGTACAAGTTGGACTCGCTGGTGAAGTCAAGTGTCCCATACCACATGTAGGGTAAATGGGATTTCACACTTTCCAATGAACTAAAAAGTTTTTACCGTGTCAGAACGTTTTGTACGCGGACAGCCCTCTTGTTGGCCTGTCGCCAGAAAGCAGCGGTTGACAGATGTTTACTACTTACCGACAACGATGGAGACATTAATTTATGCGCCGCGATGCATATTTTATTACGGGTGTCAGACTTTTCAGTTCATTCAACTCATTCAACAGTGTCTTTCAAGTTTGTTTGAAGTTTGTTACATACAGTTAGAGTTTTAAATTTTGTATAGCACAAATTTTTTAATCAATTTATAATGTTCTGCAATATTTTGAAATTCGTTTGGAAATCTGTATATAAAATGGAATATCGAATCGAATTGCGTCCGGATCACGGACGACTAATCACAGGTGAAAATGCAGTGCAGCTTAATCACGTTTCGGTTTTAGTCTATGGATTTCCGAATATCCAAAGCCAAAAGAGGTCGACAGCCCATCTTGTTTAGATGCTACAGTGAACCACATGCTTGTCTGTTCTCCGCTATCATAAAAAAAATAAAGAAACTTTAGTTTTTCGCTCTTTTACGAAAGGGGCTATAATTATATACTAGGATAATTATCTCATTCTTTATAAATATAATTTGGAAAACAAGAATAATAAATTCATCAGCTTCACTCATTCGAACAACTAAGCACACACTAAGCTACTCGGTTCGTAGGAGATAATCAATGGGCATGTTATCTTAACAGATCTGTAATAATAGGTAATAAATAACCAATCTATAGTATATTAAAGAAATATTGGCTTCCTTTTTCTTTGATATTATGATTATTACACATATCTATTTCTGTCTTTACCCATATTAAAAGATTTAAGTGTAGTTGAATGCATTGTCTAGCATAGCGTTAAGCGTATGATATCTAGGGTTAAATTTGAGACGAAAATAAGAGTTTTAGTCGGAGAGGGTACAGAGGTCTCTAGTCTATAGATGAAAAAGCCCTAAAGTTTTATTAGCATTTCGGTTGTAGTCCGTGAATTTTAGAATACCTAAAGCCAAAATATCTTGTTTAGAATTTATATAGCTGGGCTATTTTACCAGTTAAACTCAAAAAGATCTCTGAAACGGACTAGACCCCACACACTACTCAGCGCGACACAATATATGAGAAGAAACATTCCTAAGAGTCGGACGTATACATCATTTTTAACAAAATCAACATACACGATGATGATATTATGAATACAGTACCAACAAGGCCATGATTAAATCGAATTTCATAGATTCATCCCTCCAATGCATCGCATCGAGATTGCAAACTTAGTAAGCACATTTGCATAACCCATTTAGCTACGCCGCTGAAGCACTTTCATAGTTGCGAACCAGTGCTGTACTTTTTATCCTATTCTATGACGAACAGATATTGATGGTAACGTTTTCTTTCACTATAGATACGCAGGATACAAAGATAGCTTTGATATCGTTTTTTAAATCACACAAAAGCTACTTATTAAAGGAATTTAACCGTAATGATATTATATTATAACGATATCTTTTTATGATATAGGAGGAGAGACAAGCATGTAGTATTAGGGTAGGTGTAATACCCCAGCAATATTACCTATAATTGGGAAGTACTGTGGATCTATTTTGGCTTTAGATATTCGGAAATCTACAGATTGTACCCGAAACGCAATTAAACTTGACTGTTTTTTTCATCTAAGGAATCGGTCGTGATACGAACGATATTTCGATATTCTTTCCGCCCATTTGATATCCAGATTTCCAGACGAAGTCTAACATCTTTCAGAAAAATAAATTATTAATTAATTATACATTGATTGAGACAATTTTGGACCTGGTGGAGAGCGAAACTACGATCCGTTGTCTATGCATTAGTTAAAGCCTACTTTAGTTATACATTGCTAACATTACAGTTACACCAACGAGCCCATAGCTCATATAGCCCCACTATATGTTATATATGGCTTAAAACGAGCAAGTCAATACGCGCTGTTAACTTAGCTACTTAGTTTTACGTTTAACCCATATAAAATTGTGATTTCCTGCATGGATCATGATAGGTTGTATATGTCAGTTTGTTTATGAGCACTTCTTTTCTTTCGTTTTTAACTCGGGTCTTATTCTAAGAAGCTGCGTATACCCGTATATAGAACTCTATAATACAAATGAAATTACTTTTTAGTTTCCTTCTAGCATTTAATATTTTATCGAAATTCTCGACGTTATAACGTAATGAATGTCGAGTTACTCTGTCTCCCTCGTCGGCTGCTGAATCAAAGGGCCGTTAGCCGAGATGGTTTAATTAAAGGGAAAGCTAAGTGCGTCTAGACTCTAACCGTGTCGAAACCTCTGCATGACTATTTTTAACGTGTTGCCCCGTATTTAAAACGAATTTTATCAAAGTAGGGTAGAGTTGTTTATGTAATGTTATTCTCTTAAGGATTTTTAGTTTAACTTCTACCTCCATGTTTTCTTATGCATATAAATAGTTTTATTTATAGCAAGGTAGTTTAATTAAATAAAAAATGGATTTTAAGAACTGAAGGGAAGGGTGAGTTAGCTTACTTCATGATTATAATATTGATTATAAATTAAAACGTTAAGGTTTAACTGTATGGTAAAAGTCATATATTATATTTTCTAAATTACTTTAAATGTTTATTAGCATTCATGAATATGAATAGAGTAGACCCAAATATAAGAGAAATAAGAGTAAATCTATGTTATTAAAATAATAAATATATATCTAGTTTTACCCTTTCTAGAGCAAAAGAACAAGAGAAGAAAGTACAAGCTAGAATGAAATATTTGGCGGAGTTTAACGAGAAACAGCGCAAAGAACGCGCGCAGCGTGCAGCGGAGAAGCAGAATAGAATAAAACAGAGGGTGCAAGCGGCGGCTGAGATGGAATTGAGAAGAAAAATAACCATGGTGCGACAGTGGCGAGCGAACGAGAGAAAACGATTAAATCGATTGAAGCAAGAGCGAGAGGAAAAGCAGAAGAGGCAAGAAGACGAGGTACGAATGAAGTATATACTTTACCTATACTTATTTTAGGATGGCAAGGTGTGATAATGTTTTTAATTATAAAAAAATAAAAAACAAAGGCGGCCAAATTTTACAAACCAAAATTACAAATAAAAATATTATTTTATAATGCGTTTTTTATAGAAATGTAACACCTGACTTGTATATTTCACTGATCGAATAATGTGTTGTTGCCTTTATATAAATAACTTTAATAAATATTTCTTCATGAAATTAAAATTCTATAATATACGAATGTAGGTACATTTTACGTACCACGTTAAAATGGCTTAACATTAGGGATCCATTAGGCGACAAACAATGTGACTTCTCGCTATATATTTTCAGGCGAACAATAAATGGGAAATGCGTGTGAACGCCCAAAATCAAAAGATCCAAGAAGAGTCTTTGCTCCTCAAAATCTACACCGAAGACATGAACGCTAGCGCAATGCGACGAGCCAAGTTAGTGTTTTATTATCTAGCTCCTGTTTGGTAAAATTGCAATTTATAAGGAACGGTATGGCGTAATAAAAAAAATATCAAAAATTGTTCGTATATCTATCGATATAATATTTATCTGTATAAACACTGTGTGAATGTGAAACGTGTGAAAAATATTCATTTGTTTATTTAAATATTAATTCACTGTAATTTCATCTTTAATGATTCCTTAAGTGTTTGCGTAAGAATTAAGGTTGTAATTATAGATGTAGGCCATTCCAGATAAACCATTTTATATGATTAATAAATGTTCAAATAATCAGAAAAGCAGAGGTATACGCTTTCAATACGGACTTGGAGCTAGCCAGAATCAGACTTGCCAATTGGAAGTTGCTACACGGCGGAACGGCTAAAGCCGCGGGTCTCGTCAAGAAGATGGGAGTCGAGTTTGAAAAGGTTGATAATCTCGTCGTTTTGAGAACTATTTATTAAGCTTTCATTATATTGTAAATGATAGAGGAGGACATCAAGCGTGGGGATCACCTACCACCCATTTAATATTCAGATTTACAGATGAAGTCCAACATGTTTCAGAAAAATTATAAATTGATTACAAAAAGTTAAATCCAGGACCCGTTTATTATTAGCCGTACATTGCTACCATTACACCAACGCGCCCATCGAAAGTTATTCTAGTTATTATTTAATTATTTTGAAAAATAGTGTTAACATATTTTTCTAGTCGAAACGCGGTGCTAAAGGCATGAGCCCCGAGCTTGCGCAAGAGTTGGCAAAGGAAGCGATGAATGCTGCAGTTTCCACTCAAGGAGATGCGCTTATGACACTCGGCCAAGCGCGTGCTTGGATGGATCTGGTGACAGTGCTGCCATCTGCACCGATTAGAATACTTGATGAGGTGATAATTTGTCTATTGTTTTAAACCGTTGTTTAAATATTCTTATGGCTTACCATGATTGAAAGAGCTTATTTTGAGAAAAAAAAGTCTAATATCAAGCCTGTCTGTCGAGATTCTCATTTAAAATTTAACTCTGTCTTGTATAACTTTATACGTTGTGTCTATCTATAACTGTATTGAATTTTTTTAACCTATTTAAAGTGAAGCTCTATACCTTATGTATGTATATTGTAATAAAACGTTCTCTATGTTTTTAATTAAATAAATACATTAAATAAATAATACTTGTTCGCCTGACGTTAATTTGTGAATTCTAGGACAATGATTGAAATCACACTTAACTACATTCAAAACTAATGTTTATAGTCGGTAGACTCAACTGTTTTTTGATTGTCGACAGTGAATAATATTTCATTAGCAAATTTTTTTTACGGTTCTAAAATGTCATTTGTTTTTTTATTAGATGTTGGAGAGTGCTGTCTTAGAGTTCGCTAGACGCCGTGTCAACTTGCTCCTTCGTGACATCGAGAGAATGGTTAAATCAAGAGCGGCCGTTGTATTCTTCCAAAACTTCCGACCTCCGCCGAAGAAAAGGTTTCTTCTTATTTAAGATATTAATAGCGAGGAGCTGCGCAAATGTACTGAGTTGACTGGTTCCAGTGTGTTATTGAATATTATAACACAGTAACACAGTCTATAGTTTACGCGAGTAGTACACATTTAAATAAAACACTTTAACGGTTTAAAACGCGATATATTAGTTAAACTTATTTGAAAATGATTTTTAACTTCGGCCCGACGTTTCGGATGCTTTGCAGCAGCCGTGGTCACGGGGAGACTCCCCGTTATTTGAACACTAACACAGTATTTGTTGATACATTGTTGATACGCGGTCATACATAAAACATATTTTAATTAAGTATTGTTTGTAGTTTTGTGGAAGTACACATTTAAATAAAACATCTATTAACCATTAACTGTTCAAAACGCGACATATACTAGTTAACTTAATTATTCTTTAATACGGCCCAACAAGAGACTGAAGATGTACGGTATGCCTAATATCAAAGTCAAAACTGCTACGCTAGCGCCATCTGTAGCGTCCATAGTTAAATTCAATTAAAAATAAGTGAACTAATACATTTCGCATTTTAAATTACTAAAATTGTCTTATTTTAATTACAATTACCTTCCTACCAACATTGAGATGTTAGAGATTCGATTGATTCTACGTTAATAAAACCACTTCTAAGGAGTTACTTAAATAATATGATTTCAGCTTAGCTTTAATCACTAAGTATGTAATGTTATGAGTAACAATTTCAGGCACGGAAAAGCTCCACGTTGGTCGATGCAGGTCGCGACGGAACTGGCGCGACATTACATGAACCGCGATGGTGGGATTGGTTTCGGTTCAATCGTGAACATTCCCAATGAAACCACCACGGACATCGATATGAAGAGCGTTAAAGATCGTCCGCCCACACCCGTGGTGAGTTATCTATAAATGCAAAAGGTATTATGATGTTAGGTACTTAGTTATGCAAATAAAACGTAAGTATTGTATGTAGTTTATACGAATAGTACACATTCACATAAGACACTTTTAACAGTTTAAAACATTGGGCGACTGTCGGGCCATAAAATAAATTTTAAATACGTTTACAATTATAAATATTTCGCGTTTTAAACAGTTGAAAGTGTTTTATTTAAAAAAATACTTAAAGACGTTTGATATAGCTTTGAAACTATTATGCATCAAAGACTAAATGTCAGTTTAAGTTTATCGACAATATTTCCAATAATTTTCCAAACAAATGAATATTCAGTAATCATCGATAGTAAAAAAACGGTATGCAATTATATCTTGGCATAGAATTCAAGAATTCCTCTACCCCTAAATTTCACGCGACACCGAAGGAATGCTTTCCGTACCTAATTCCGCTTTCCTTAACTAATACATCGCGTTTTAAACCGTTAAAGTGTTTTATTTAAACAATTAAATTGAAATAAAAAAGAACGTGATACAGGCGGGACTTCGATCGGCATCCTCAGCGCTACTGCTCTATCTAACCTATCCAGTAATTTTATCGTCAATTGGTTAGAGTAGCCACGGAACGCTGTAGATGCCTGTTCAAAGTCCCGCTTATGTCGAAATTTGACGTCAATGTAAATAGAGTTCAAACTCTTTATTATGTTTTCCGGGATTCAAATTCGTACGTTTTGAGGTTAACGAAATACTAGGCAATAGAATGTTTAATCTCCAATCTATCATTATGGTCATTGGTATTTATTAAATACTGACTGATACCCACGACGTCGTCTGTCAATTCGTTCCCGCGAGTTGAACTTAAAAGATAGACATGTATTGTTGTAGACACTTGTTTTTATGTGGTTTAAAGAAGAATCATTCTTTCATGAACCATTTTCGTAGCGCTTGCTACGGAATCCCACACAGATACATAATTTTCCACGTTTTATTTTTTACATGCGACCTGATGTAATAGCCTAAGCCCTCCTGGATAAATGCTCCGAAAATATTTTTTCAATGCCAAATAGTTCCTGAGATTAGCGCGTTCAAATAAACAAACTCTTCAGCTTTATAATATTAGTATATATTACATTATTTTTTATTAAGAAGCCTAATGCTTTGTTTTGTAGCCGTCGAAGACCAAATTAGCCGAAGTAACGTTCTCGGATCGAGTAGAAGATTTACCCGACCCGGTCGCTGCTGGAAGCTTCCTTCCAGAGAGGAGCAAGTTGCTAGAGGTTGTATAATACTTTGAACACTTAAAGGAGTAAACTACGTCACGTAAACGTGAATAGTCAATCCAAACGGACGGTAAAAAATTTTCATAGAGGTAAATTTTTCAATTAAGGTTTTCTATTAAAACATAGTTTAATATATATTCAAAAGGCAATAAGTTTTATACAATTTATAACTTTTCCGAGCATCAGCTACAATCTGCAAAATGCGGAAGGTAAGTTTCTCGAGAGAAGGTAAGTTTATATTTGTTTTTATTGTAATTTGTATAGTGTTTTGGGTAAAAAAAAGTTATTTTGATTGCTAAACTATTGGTACTTATTTTCAATACTTTTTTTACTAAGACGATCATTTTGAATGCTATGCTTGCAAACCTTTTACTGTCGATATATCGCACCTTGCACAGCGGATACTAAATGTATATTTTTTGAATGGTTACAGGTTCAAGTTCATGAAATATTATCTGCTTTGGAGTGTGAGGAGTATATAATACTTGGAAATTCATTTACTACCCCCTTTGAGCTGCCGATCAGGTTACTAGAAGACATGACAAGTCCATGAAGCATACACCTATCCACCTCTTCAACGTTCTCAGGTATAGGATATTTCTCTCATCAAGTTCCCCACATAACTTTTAGCTTGACCCCTTTCTATTTTCTGTCTCTCAAGCCTTCAAGGTCCCAATAAAAAGAAAAATCCAGTTGGAAAAAAGCCCTTTTATTTGCACTAATATCGTCCACAGCCACCTCATGAAAGTAAAATGCAAAATCCCTTACTTCAACTATTTTTTCTTTCTCAAACTATAGTCAACTTCCTGCAAAAAAACAAACCTGATGGCAACATGACGAATCTTGTTATTTTAGCAATGCTTTTGTCGGGTTATGTCAATTCCAAAGCATTGTATTTTTGCAAGGATAATGCGTGCCTCAATTTTACAAGACACTTAGTCCGTTTTGAGTTGATTCTTCAACATTACATGAACGATATAGCGAGCTAATGGATATTTTAATTACGACCTGTTCTGAACTGTGATTTCGAAACACTCGGGTGGATACTTAGCGTAGATGAGCTTCCCTTTCGGAAAAACTACTACATTCATCCGTGGAAAGCCAATTAGGTTTGGTTTCAAAAACTGGGCAATGTTGCTATACCGGATTTGTTGCTTCAGTTTATATACGGGAAAGTTCTGAAAAAAAGATTTGGAGCTTTCTCACCTTACTTGACAAACTTCACAAGTGGCTAAAATTGTTTTTTGACATTATTTTACATCTTAGCCTGATGAAACCTAAGGACTTCTTTTCCACCCTTAACTACCCTATCCCATGTATTCAGGAGCCATCTTCCAGTAGCTGTGATGTTTTCGTATGTCGGTGGATATAACAATTTGTCACATACCACTATTTTGAAAATCTGGCAATTACATCTCCACTGGTCCAATGAAGAAAACCAAAGTGCAGTCCTCACCATACTTATTTCAAATTTATAAGTATATGGGTGGAGTAACAATTTGTCAGGCTTGCAAACTTACGAACCGATGCTATAAAGAATGTGGTGGCCTTTTCTATTTATTAGCGTTTCGGTTGTAATCCTGGTTACTTGCCGAATCTCCGATACTGTCTTTATTCGTTTTTAACCTTCATGCAAGAGCTTACTTCCTCCCCCCTCCCCCCCATTATCTACAAAGATACGACGGTAAGAATTGGTGTTCCAATAAATACAAGTCGGTTCAATATGTGGAGGAAAAGTAAATTTCAGTGTCAGAAATTGTTAGCCTTCGAAATGTCACATGCTACCACATTTTAAATTAAAATATGTTTATTTTCTTTACTTTCTATAATAAATTTCTTTATAAAATCCTACTTTTATTTTAATCTTTTTTAACATCAATTGTGTCCGCCATGCATCGTCCTTTATCGGACGGCTATAAAATCTGAACTTTCACAAAAATAAGTATTTTTGTCAGTTAATTGTCGAATACACTCTAAATTTAAATTTTTTTTATCGTCATTTAAAACGTTAGAATTTTGCCAATGGGTTAAAACTAACTTGCAACATAGTATATTCGCAGTATCCGAATACCGAATATTCGGCGAGACCCTACGATAGTCGAATATTAGGCAAAAGTATTCGGCTGGATTTTTGCTCCAAAAACTTGTACAGCGTGATTGTTTCGCGCTCCTTTGTTTTGTTCTAACGTACTCGTTATTATTATGTACCAATTACTACTTTTGATTATAACAGAAATAAAAATTGATTGCGTAAGTCGATTTTAATTTTTCATTTTACCAATTATTTCTCTTGACAAAATATATTATTTAAGTATTCGTTATTCGGCCGAATAATATGTGATATTCGGTATTCGACCGAATATAATAAAAGCACCGAATAGGCCGAATACCGAATAGTAACCGAATTTCGTTGCAAGTCTAGTTAAAAACCGTTAAATTTAACGATTATATTAATTTATGTGGAGTGTAGCACACCGAAGTAATTATATGAAAAACTATAAGAAATATAGCGACTATTTCTCAATTCTCCCTAATTGTAAAATATTAAATAAAATACTTTAAACGGTTTTAAACGGCCCGACGTTACTAATATAAACCCTATTTCTTATTTTTAACATTGACATATTTATTCATTTAGATGGTGAATGCAGCAGCCAAGCTTTTATCTCGATCTGTGAGTGAGAAGGTGATGAAAGGAATGGACATAATTGTGGGAACAGTGACCTTACCGCATATGAGACACCCCAGTAAGTAAAATGTAAAAGTGAAATCCCATTTCGCGCGTGGGGCATGGGGCAAACATTTTTCTTTGTCCGTTTCATTGATGAGTTTTTATTTACAGGCAAGTAGTTTAACTTCTGTGCCATGCCCGACCAAAACATTATGTAATAAAAGAAAAATATATAAATATAAATTTCTTTGCGATTTCTTGAGGCTCAGTTTTTAGTGGTGCTGATATTATTATTTTACTTATATTTTATATGTATTTATTGCGTCTTTCTTCCACTGGCAAGTAAAACATCGACAAAAGAGTTTTCGTGGAACAGCTGACAAAGCGGGCGCGTCTCTGAAAGACCTTTGTCCAACGTATCATCGAACCACGTTGTAAAATGCGACAAATATAATCCTATCAACAAAGCCTAATAGTCTGAGATACCTGTGTGTGAGATCGTTTATAATATGTTGGTTCCCGAAATAGGCGGTGTTTGTTTACCATATCATTGTTTTCGGGCTGTTCGGCCGACGTGAGCGAAAAAACAGTTTTTGACGCTTGCTTATCTCTGATATATTATAATTTTGAAATTTAAAACAAAACCGGTTATAGTTGAATGGGGAGAAGCTGTAGAAGGTCTGTCTGATGCTGTTGTGAACAACAGAATACACGGCGACTGCGCTGATGTAAGAAGAGCCAGCGAATACCTAGCAAGACGAATACTACGCACTCTACTCGTTGAGATGAAAGAAGAAAAACAAAGGAGGGTAAGAAATAGATGAATTTGTAGTAAGAGAGTAACTGACCATTTTATTATAAACTGTATAAGGCTTTTAGAATGCTAGTTGGGTTTTTGAGTTGTTTGGACATCGTAACTGAGTAAAGGTGATCGTTATCTCGCAACCTACTATTACTAACATCACCACAAAATTTCACACGTTCTTCTACTAAGCGAAGAGAGATGATGATTTTTTAGAAACCCAAGTAGACTTTAATTATTTAAGAGAAGACAATACAATAAAGTAAATCGATTTCTTTAGAACCTATCATTGGTCACCTGATCACAGTTTTCTTCTTTTCCGTCCCTATGGGTGGGGGGGAAAGGAAAAAAATTTTAAAAAAAAGGGGGGGTTTTTAAAGGGGGAAACCAAAAAAAAAAAAAAAAATTTTTTTTTTTAAATTTTTTTAAAACATTACTATTATTGTTTCTTCTTACTTCGCTTGTCTCCTGCAGAAACTAAGCAATTCATCGTGCGAAGAAAAACAGGATTTTTATAACCCGGATGCAGTAGCGAGTCCTTGAAATCGGATGCAATAAGATGATATATCTATTACTTGGTCGATGTGTTTGCGGTCGAAACCAGAGCAAAATTGTTGTAATTTTTCTATTACGTTTTTCTTTTTAATCTTGTTGCTTTGTTGTGTTATTTTGTTAAATAAATGTGAACTTAATAAAGATTCCTATTTCAAATTAAATTTGAAAAATAACGTAACTTGAACAGCTTTTATATAACCACCACCATCCACCACATATAGAAAATCAATACTGTGGGTCCATACTGATTTTCTTACAGGCAGACGCCAAAACATTTTTGTAATAGGATCCATTGTACCATATGCTAACGTATCCTCCTATATCATATATTTTAATGTTATCCAATCTCGGAGGCTTTTTTTGTAATAAAGGAAGACAGACAATCATGATTTTCACTTGATGGTAGCTGATATAGCAGCCAGCCTGCAGCATCTAAACAAGATGCGATGTCGAACTATTTTGGCTGTGGATATTCGGCAATCCACAGACTGCAACTAAAACGCGATTAAACTTGACAGATTTTTATCTGTGGACAAAGGTTCGTGGAAATTCGATGTTCATAACACCCGTTTAATACCCAGATATCCAGACGAAGTCCAACGTGTTTCTAAACATACGTTATAAAGTGATAACAAATTCTGGATGCGGTAGGGATCGAACCCGTGACGCATTGTTATAAGGCATACATTGCTACCATTATACCAACGAACGGTCTTCAATGAATAAACTTAACACAATTTTCGGTAAAGCAGCTTGAAGTGTGAAGTACTTCTACGTGGCACATGACGTTAAAGCGATCTTTTGTCTCGATATTCGACTGAATACCCTCTTGTCTGTACATGACACTTCTTCCTCCAATAAGGAAACCCCTTTTTATCCGACAACGTCGATATCAAAAGGAAAGAAAATAATAGAGTTTTTATATACACATTACGTAAGTAATCTAGGCTTTATTATACATACTTCTGTATAACTTTAAATTATAGTATTTATTTATTCACATATGGTAAGCTTGCAGCTAGAACTATAGAATAGTGGACAAATTAGATATCAGACAGTATCTTCCATGTCCATAGATTATACGTATTTATTTAGATATGTTAACTTTTTATATTATATAACGTACTTGTATTTTATTATATATAAAGAATAAAACCTTTTTAACAAATAAAAATTAGTTTTACGGATTTAAAATTATCTGCCAATTAAAATTTGAAAATAGAACGCGACGTCAGTGTTAAAATCCCTGTGATCATGTAAAGACAGGCTTCCTGAAACACTCAAAACCGGCCGAAAATAAACCAATAATGCAAATATTGCTCCAGCACACACCGATGGCTGTACTTAAGGACCTCAGCATGAACAGGTATTACTTAAAAATAAATGAAAGGACATTTAACAAGCTGTAAAAACTGATATAGCATATTATATAAAAAAACAGTCATGACCGATATTATAGTTTTTAATGCGTAATTATAACTGTTTATTAAGTAAACAAAATTGTTATTCTATTTCTATATATTTGTTCGTTTGATTAGATTTAGTTCAGGTTGATTCCAAATTTATTCAAAGAAGTATTCTTTCTTTCTGTTTATCTAGTGATAATTAGTACTACTAATTTCTTTGTAACGTAGTAAATTCTTAGTAACGTCTTAAAAAGAAAAAAAAAATCGATAACAGGCTGACTCAAACACACACGTTATTCTTAATGTCCATCTTTTTAATAGCATGGGCATCCGCGACGCGTCCTCTCATACAGAAGTTAAAGAGAAGAAATCTTCGAACTCCTCACTGATGCTCATGAATCCGGTAGCCAGCGGGGATAACATGGCGGTGGACCTGGCGCAGAAGAAGGAAGAATTACCACCACTCATACCCTGCTGTGAGGGGAGAGAACTTCAAGTATGTAATTCATTTAAATTCGGTTTTTGATTGCTGAAGTAGTTCTGTCTTTAAGAATTTGTTCCGGAGATATCGCCATAAAAAGTTGGTATAATAAAGCAGGAACAGTTATAATAGTATCTTTTGTTCAAATGGTCCAAAATCTAGCAGCTCCTATAGCCATAGACGACTTTAAATTTGATAATGTATAAATTTAAATATAGATATTCGTTTTCTTTACGCACAGTCTGCTAAGGACACCTATCTAGAAATTTTGCTTTTGACGTGGGTCTAACACCTGCCAGAAACACAAGTTTTTTGTTTTACCTTCGTAAATCAGGTAAATTTTATTTGCAGTTACATGAAATTACTGAAAGCATATTATAATACGTCAAACATTCTACAACAATCTTAAACTTTTTTCTTGTAAAAAAGCTATACGATTGTTGTAAAATAAATAAAAAAGGAGTCAATCATGTAATTAATATTTTTGGCAATTATCTGACTTTTTTTTACGTTAGAAATATGATCGGTGGATGTCAGGGTGTCCTCAAACGTGGTTTCAGTTACCCTAAAGCCCGTTTTTTTAAACCCGACGGTGGAGTCTTATGAAAATACCTCTGTCAGTGCTTAATGGATGTTGAAAAGGGATGGAAGGTTTTTAGCGTCACGGATTGTGGGGCTATGCATTGAACGGAAAGCAATTTATATCGCGCAAGCCTGAAAAGAATGATGAATCGTCGCTAAACGCAATTATACGGAATTTCTCTCTTGTTATTTCAAGGGCGACAAAGAAATTTCTTTTTCTCTGCCCGTCCTCCAGACACAATGCGTAGTTACAAGCTCTTGTAAAGTCGGTCGGTTTTTATATTCATAGAAATTGATTGAAACTAGATTATAATACTTTTCTTATGAATATTTTTTTTTTGGAGTTATTTTTAAGAGTTCTATATATCTAAATATCTGAATGGTAAAAAAGAAATACATGACATTTTCAAAATTCTCATGTTAGATAATTTAGTAATGCAGTAAAATACTATTTTAAGGCTAACTGTAAAAACACATAATTAATTAAAAATATCAAACCATATAATTTATATTTTATAGATAAATGAGGAAATAGTTCGCAGTGGTCTCTCGGCAATATCTGTGAAACACGACAGCGTGATACATTGCATGAGCATGTCCTGTGCTTGCGAGAGAATGCAGGTTCCACCTGGATTAGTTAAGGTACTGCTGGCAGCTAATTATTTTTTACTCTATATTAACTGTGCTTTGACACAGTTTTTACTATCCAATGCACTATCACAAAGAAACACAACAAATATCACAATTAAATATATTTCCAATTTTGATTCCTAATTATATTTTTCATATTTATGATCGATGTCAGAGCAAGCTGCGGGAAAGCCCTAGTTAAATATAAGAATTTGAAGCTAGAAATATTATTAGTTAAAGTCTAGGAATTATTCTAATTACGTTTTTTTTGCTTTGCAACATCCAAAAATCTCTCGGTCTCTTCGTGACCACGGCTGCTTAACCGTTCAGTGATTTTATTTCAATGCTACTACTCGCAAACACTACAGACAGTATTTAAAAGTAATAAAATCGAAGGTTAATCTTTAGGACTTTTAGATAATTATTTATTTATTTATTTTTTATTTTTAGATAATTTATACACATGTACAACTTTTCAATACCTTTTCAAACTTTCGGCTCGATGCACTCGTGGCTGTAATAAGAATTATAGGTAAAATTGTTTGTCCAGCACCGTAATTCGTTCAGAAGCTTGCATCGACCGGATCTGAAGCGAGTACCATACCTTCGCCGGATGACACCAGATGAACTGGAGACACTATTCCGCGGTTATGCTGAGTTCCATTTGAAGTCTAACTCGAAGAACGGTATGATTACAAAAATTCTAACTTAGCTCTGTAGCTTTGCTTATTATAGTATTTTATTGCACAAGTTTAGACACCATTATCTAATGTTTTTCTTTCAAAATACTTAACCTGGTTTGTGTGTTTACTATGTTCTGTATTCATTACTTATTATATTAATAAAAGATATAAGGCTTAAATTATATTTCAAAAACATAAACTTCATTTTTCGTTCGTGATCTCTGACCGACTCTGTAGCTAAGTTGTTAAACGTGTTTCCTGGTATTGCGTTAAGCTCGAGAAGTCCTAATTTCGAATCCCGGAGAAATACATTTTTCGGTAGGATAAAACTTATTGAAAAGGACAGGAATGTGTTCGCCCTATGCCCCACAGGGGTAAACGGGATTTCATTGCTATTTCTCGTTTGTAGTAATAAGTCTCTTAAAATCTGTATGCAATCAGACCAATTATATAATGTAACAATTTATTTTTATATTAAAACCGCGATACCAACATCTTCCGATATGCGGTCAGTTTTGACCTTGCGAATTATTCATTGAATATTCCTTTCCAGATACTAAGGATTGCGCAAGAATATTGCCTTCGGGTAACACGAAAGACATGCGAGATAAAGAACGACAAGACGATGGTAATTTTATAATAATATATTCCATAGAGAAATTAAAAAATTTAATAAAAGATAAAATTTGAGTTGATCGAAATTGAATTTTCAATATAATTTTATTAAAAAGCATTCAGTTTAACCTTATAAGCATTCTATTTGTGAGATAGGGAGTTCGATACCCAATTGTAAACAAAAATATCTTTACGTTTCTAAACGGCTTGACCCGCAAAAAAAAAAAATATTCACGCCAATTTATTCCCAAGTCCCAAGCGGTGGGATGTTTTAAAGGGTGTACTATTATTCCCATTTTGACTGAACGCGAATTCTCTAAATGTTCCAGCCATCCTACGTCCTATACTGGAAACATCAGGAACAGAAGATGTGCCAGCTGGCATGAGACTGCATGGAGCAAGGGCCAGGCTTTACACCTCCGTTTTAGCTGGTGGAAAGGCTGGAGATCAGCTAGAGTAACTATTAAACATACTAAGTGCTTATAGTATTTTTTAAATGCTTCGTAAGATTGGAGGTCACCAAAGCCGAAATTATGCCAAATTCAATGAACAATGAATTAAATGAGGTACCGGGTTCGGTTTGTGGATCGGGTAGAATGTTGCCTCGGGTATTTTTAAAAAACATTTTAGTACCCAATTAGCTTGTAGTTGAAAAATGGTAATATAATCACCCCCGTTCCCTGAAAATCACTTACAGTCATCAACCCGCAATGGTGCAGCATGGTGGATCTAAGCTATTAAAACGCACAGCGTGACATATAAAGCATTCGCCTATTTTTCTCAGCACTGCATCTGCAAACGAAGACTACGATCAAGCAATACCCGATGACACCCTCCAAGAAGACGAAATCCAACTTAACGAGGAACTTCAAATAATCTTGCCGCCCCGGTGCGATGACGTCACCGCGGAATCTTCTATTACGGCTCGAGTGAATTGATGGAACTCTGCCATAAATCTCGCCCCGCTCTAGCAAAATTCAGACGATACTTGAAAAAGACCATAGCGAAAGTATTCATGTACCTAGACTGGTTGATAAGGGACCTCGTTTGGGGGAAATAAAAAAATGTATCGTGTGTGAGTTTATATTTGAATATTTCTACAGTATATATACAGCAGAGTGTAACTCTTACAACCAGTTACATCGTTGGAGACAAGTGCTAGAACAATTGCACTTATATCACGAAGTTCATAAAAACGAATTTAACCCAAAAAATGTTAACGAGTTCTCGTGATTGTAAACGAATTTCAAATTGTGGGGATTCAAAATTGCTAGTTGGGTTCGCGACGAAAAATTATTTGTAAAGTGTCGCCGGGACATTGCTTTCGTTTAACATTTTTATGAACTCCATTTACATATTTAAACCGTTCACAAATGAAACCTAGAATGCTTATAATTAAGCTTGTATTGATATAAAATCATAACATAGAAAACAAGAAACTAAAAAAAATAGAAATCCCTTAGAAAATAACGTAACAAGATGGCGGTAGAACTGTAAAAGCTTCGCGAATTTAAAAGTGAGCCAACACTGGCAGACGAGAGAATTTAAAAAGAAAAAATAGAACACGGTATTTGACATTTGTGACGTCACAGCTCATTTTTAAATTCGCTGCTTTTAACGGGTGGTCCCAAAATCTATAAGCGCTAAGCAACTCTCAATTGGAAGTAATGTTTAGTCAAATTATCCGATTTCTGATAAGGCCGGGTTTGCAACATTCCCACAGGAAGAACACAAAATCAAACTAATATCCCAATAATCCTAGATTTCAGTGTTGCCTTAATTGAGGCAAAAGGATCCTTGCTATTTTTGACAGCCGACTATAATAGCAAGAAATTAATAACTTAAAGCGATCGTTTATATTTCGTTTCGATCTTCTGTATTATTCGCTATTTTTTGAATTCGCCGAGTTTTAACAGCACAGTGTATATGCACTGTCAAATTTTCTACTTTAAACTACTAAATGTTTTCCATAACTCAAGTTGCTTAAAAATAAAATATTAAATTTCTTAAATGGGTTTCATTACACCTACTTTCGTAATAAACGTATTTCAAGGGATACGAAAATGTGGTTATGTACATATCTATAAATCTTTTTAGATAATATTTAGTGTTTCACAAAAATGGAGTGGAACTAGACTCGAATGCGAGGAGAAAACCGATTTGCACCATATAATTGAAGTCTGTATAGGTTCTAGTTATTGTGTATCTCAAGCCCGACCCATTTTCGTGAAATACCCATATTATTACAGTCGATTCACCACCGATCCGAGTTAACACCTACTGTATACCATAATTTAGACAAGCCTACTGTACATACCATTGCGTGCTCACAAACATTAAAACCCTCAAATCACTTCATACACGCTGTACACTAGTGTAATAGAAACTTTACCTACCGTTACTATACAAAGGTGGTAAAAATAATATAAAAAAAAAACAATCAACTTTATGTAATCACCATTTTTAAATAACATAAAAAAATAATCGAATATATCGTTACAACAAAGCTCTAATTCTTTAAATAATGGAATAGTTGATTTTTGTGTGAAAAACAGTTCACGTATTTTTATACTAACTAATTTGGTCGCATACTGAAGCGCTACACTGAGGCTATGAGATTGTTTGTTTCTTTTATACAGCATGGTATAGAAAGGGACAAAAAGTAGAGACTGAAGAGACGGCCTTAGTACTATTAAATAGTTATTTTTCTAAAAAATGTAAACATATTTTTACATTTTACATGGATTTATGTCCGTATTTTGATTTGTTACAGCCTAATTATTACAAATCAACCACAATAAGTGCCACAATATAGCATATATTAATGAAACTCAGACAAGACTTAAGGCATTAAGAAAAGGAATAGGACAAATATATTCGTACAAAGACGATTACGAAGCTTATCTATAAAAATAGTTAATTCAAATGCTAGTCAAGTACTTGACTCGCGCAACGAATAAATTTAATAAAAAAATATTACTAATAAGAAATTATTTTTAACCCTACTAGTACGTGGGTCGCCCAGTAGCGTTGACTAAAGTTGAAATAATACTTTATTATTATTGTATTTATATTTAATACGGAAAGAGGAGACATGGGTGAATCGAGTGGCGCTTCAGTATTCGCACCGCGTTGATAATTTGATAAGTCCTCTGGATTAATATTCACTTCACTTGCGCGTTAGTTCTTTCGACACTGGTTCACGATATTACCGACGGTGCGCCGTTCACTTACAATTAAATGGCATCTCAATCCTCACCTGGAAGTCAAGTTCATTACATTATTGGAGGGTTGAGAACAATAAATAGAGTAATCTGTCGAGTCTTTTGCGCGAGTAGTACACATTTAAAATATTTTTAATGGTAAAAAGCGAATTTTAGTAAAATTTTATAAAGTGAGAACATTACTGCGCCCAATTTCATATTACACGTAATTGTGCAACCTTTTTACCTAGACAGAAAAATGAAAAACAATTTCATTCAACTTTCTCATGCAAGTAAGGTACATTTATTTTTTAACTTGGTAATCTTCTTTTATTTTTTAAACAACCTTAAGATTATAATTGACGATCTCCTTGGTGTAACGGTAAATCTGACGGCTTGTAAGTTCGATTCCAATGTGTTTGTCGAAAACATTTTTTTTTTTTAGTTTTACATTGCCTAGAAATCTGAATATGAAATGGGGGTAGGAACATCGAAATTCCGTCGAGGTCACGAAACACAGATAAAACGACGTGAAATTTCATCAAAGATCGCGTTAGGATGTTATATATGAATCTCATGCTTGTCTGTCCTATTCTATCATCTATATCTTATAAAGCTTTAGACTATCAATGGGGTAAAGAAATGTAATGGTGACGAGCGAGAACAAAGCATAATTAGAGCAGCATCACGGATTTTTGTGAATAAAGTCTATCTTAGTTGTCTAGATACTAACCGCAGTAGGAGGCGGCGTGGCCGCCTACTCTGCAGCTCATAACTTGTGGTTGCTGGTGAGCCAGGTGAGCCCCTCGTAGAGCCCGTCTCCGGACGTGGCGCAAGATGGCTGCACGTACCAGTTGCGATCCCTAATTCGCGTCAGCCCGAGCTTTTCTTGGATCTCGTGAGGTTTCATTGCTGAAAGAATACGGGATGTACGAGTCTTGAAGGCAACCTCCCACTAACCAACTCAGCTATTATAGCATATGTCTTGAAAACTACCGACCCCCCCCTTTTTTTTTTTTTTTTTTTGTTTTTTTCCCCCCCCCTTTTTTTGCAAGCATTTTAAATAATAACCTACCTTAATTTAACTGACCAGTAAAAAAATCTATGTTCACTAACCATCTGGCAAGTCCTGCTTGTTGGCAAATATGAGTATAATGGCGTCTCTCATCTCCCTGTCGTTGATGATGCGGTGCAGCTCCTGCCGCGCTTCATCTATGCGGTCCCGGTCTGCGCAGTCCACTACGAAGATCAGACCTTGGGTACCTGGAAATATATGGGATTCTATTAGGTTCTTATCACTTGTTTTCAACAAGTTATTTTTAAGTTTAATTGTAACATTTGTAATTGTTTCTATATAATGAAAGTAAAGTTTACATCAAATTGTTGTATACAAATTAAATAAATTTAAAAGAATAATTAACAATAATAATAATTACGAAATGACTTCCAATATTTTTAATTGTTGTATCAGAACACAAATAAATGTTTCTCTGTATGTCTATAGTTTACGCGAGTAGTACACATTTAAATAAAACACTTTAACGGTTTAAAACGCGATATATTAGTTAAACTTATTTGAAAAATGATTTTTTACTTCGGCCCGACGTTTCGGATGCTTTGTAGCAGCCGTGGTCACGGGGAGACCCCGTTTTGTTTTATTTAAATGTATTACTTTAATCCAGGATTCGAACCTAGGACCCTACCCTAGTCCATTAGGTCTTATTATAAAAAAAAAACTCACCAGTATAATAATGCCTCCAGAGCGGTCGAATCTTGTCCTGCCCCCCCACGTCCCATACATTGAATTTGACGTTTTTATACGTAACTGTTTCTACGTTGAAACCGACCGTAGGTATCGTCGTTACTGACTGTCCTAATTTTAGTTTATATAAAATAGCTGTTACGATGAGTTAAGGTATAAATAACACTTTAGTATTGTAGTCTAACTACGATAGAAAATCCTTCGCGGTATAATTTGGTTTTCTAGTACAAAGTAAGGTTTTATAACATAAACTATTACATATAGATAATACAGTTAAAAATCTGAGTTTAGACAAAAAAACAACCAAAGACTACGTAAGAACACAGTGGAGGACTATAAATTCTATAGATAAGTAATATTACAAAAAAATTATCAATCTCTCATAAGTCAAAGCCCATAGCGATTATCGTAAAGACATAACTACAAAATTGCAAAAAGGTAAATTTATAATCTATTCTCTATTATAACATGTATAATAGAAAGTATTTAAATATTATTAAAATTGTCTATTTTAGAGCATTGTTTTGTTTTGAATGAAAATAAAATACTTTCTAATTATAAAATTACAAAGACAGCTTTAAATATTAGCAATCCAAGTTTTGTGGAAAAGGATACTAGTCTTTCCCGCAGCGTCCAGCCCGAGCATCAATATCCTCATCTCCTTGTTCCCGAAGATCTTCGACAGCAGCTTCCCCATGTTGTCGCGATCGCCTCAACCGCACTACTGAAAACAACATAATTTGCTTACATTAAAACCCTTTAATCGTGTAATTTAAACCTAACGATGAAGAAGAACAAAAGAACATCAAAGCATTACTTTTATTGACAATTGACTTTGATCAAGGTGAGACTTTCAATATATTTGTAGTAAATGCGTTTACTTGATTATATTTTTAAACATTTTACTTCATATAAAACAAATTATTTCCCTTCCCCCCAACAAATGTATTAGTTAAAATAAGTGAACTAATATTTTGAGTTTTAAATCGTCAAATATGTCTTTATTTAAATACATAAAACCAACTTTACGAGTGTATTTTTGTATGCCATATAAAAGCGACCCGCGTTCGTTTTCAATATTTCTGTCGCCAAACAAAAGGTGGATTTTGAGAGACATCAATATAAATCGAATCGAAATACTTTGAAGAGATCAAATACTCATCAATCATTCATCGTAAAAGAAGGCTTTGAGACCTAAAAGGGAACACAACGCTACATTGATTCCCAATATTAGCTACGTGTAGATTTTATTAGATCACCCTTAGTAATATTCGGGGGACGCGATATAAGAAAAGGTCCTTTGTAAAAGTGTTGATTCATTCATAACTTCTTCGATGACACCCCTAAGGGAAAACGCATAATTATTTAAAATATGTTTATAGCTTTTGAAGCAGCATTCTTGAGTTATGCTTTATTGATAAAAAGTTTACATAGAGGCAGAGTGGTCTAATAACATTTGTAATGTCATCATGATTTTCAACAAGGAGAAAAGAATGCGCATTTAACTTAAGCGAAAATGAATTTGTACTACTATTTGTGTAAGAGTTATGTTAACAATTTTCAGTCAGAGTGATCTTGTAGATTGACATTTTTAGACTATAAAAGTATAAATAAGTCAAGTCATAAAATTGCAGTTAGGCTACTCTACCTCTAGCGGCCTCATATAGAGACCTAACATTTACGTCACTAATTTGGAAGCGCACGCATAGTATGACTATGATTAAGTATGAGATGATTCTAAAAAAAATTACTCCAACCATTAGTTAAGCGGCATATCTCGTTAGACACGTGTTGATGACATCATTGTCTATGTTTTACGTCTATTTATAAGGATACGCTAAAGCTCTCTCTAAAGCGCACTCGCGATATCTATCTTATTATAAAGCTGAAGGTGTAATTATTAAAACTGCCTAAAGCTCTCATAAGAGCAAGCAGTGGATTGCGGAAAAAGCCGGAACACTTTAAGGGTTTCCGTTGGGTGAGCGGCGCCCAAAACCATTTTCCAAACATGTATAGAACTATGCCAAACAAGTCCTGTCAGTATTTTCAGATTAACTTGCAAGAACGACGAGAAGCAGACGAAGTCGAGGGTACAGTTATAATTTATAGACATAAAGAGGTTTGCAAAAACAAATGTTGATGTCCAATATACCTATTATGTACGCGGACAAAGCCGCAGACACAGCTAGTATATAATAAAGCCTAAAGTACCTTTTTCTTAAGACTTCCCATGTCGTCAGTATGAATAAGCGAAATTGATACGAATAGAAAGAAGACAAATCAATAAAAAGATATCGAAGTTTTAAAAATCAGCGGAGTCATGAATTAATTAGTCCATTCGGGTTTAAAGCTGGCGAAACCTCCTTCCGAGCAACCTTCACCCCGCCCTAGTTGCTTTTAGGACCACTAGAGCCCTCAACGTGGCACAGTATGAGTCATAAACAGTAGGTAGTATGAACAGTAGCCATAAACACTCTGGTGTAATGGTAGGGATATAAGGCTTATAATCAACGACTCGTGGGTTCTATCTCCACCAGATCCATGTTTCTAATCAATTTATACATTTTATAAAATATGTTGTACTTCGTAGAAATCTGCATATTGAATCAGTGGTAGGACTATCGAAATTCCGTCCGAATCATGAACGGCCGTCCACAGATGAAAAGCCGTGAAATTTAATCGCGTTACAGTTTCAGCCTGTTGATATCTAAATAACAAAAGCCAAAATAGGTGCGACAGCACAACTTGTTAAGATGTTATAGAGGTAGAGTATTTCACATACCAGCAAATGCCCCCCATGTCTTTCCTTCTCTATTATAAAAAAGATAAAATATACTATGGTACGTATACTTATCAACCTAGACCATCGTATTCAATCATATTTCTCGTCAACATGTAATGAAGTAAAGTATGTATTGACGACAGAATTAAAAGCGACTAGAGGTAGAAGTTACTTTCAAACAAGTTTTTAGGCTTTCGTGTTATAAAAATAAAACGCACGTTACTACACAATGCTAGATATAGATAACACCCCCTTTTCATCTTATAAACGTGATTTTTTTTCTCGGGGTTGTCATAAATCAAGCAATACTGTTTACAATCTACCCCAGTAAAGGAACCCCTGCATTGCCATAAAATCCTCCTTCGTATAAGGTCAAGGGATTCTTACTCGTACATAGTGCAACATACGGACTTACATATACACCCTTATCAGTTTCACTGTACGCGAGCGATGGAAACATAGGATTCTGTGACCATTTCACTTTTCTGATTTAAATAGATATTAGATAAAGTACTGTATTCGTTTTAATTGTATGTAAATTTGAATCTTAACTCATTTGTGATACAGAGAACGAAAGTGTAGATGTTTTTCTTTGAATATGTAAATTTGTATGCATTTTAAAGAAGGCATCGAGAATATTTACTAGCTAACGATAGACATTGATATATTTCATAAGATCACGAGAGTTCTAGTTGGTAGAGCGCGAGTCTATACTACTAAATTATTCCTATTTTTTCGCTTTTTTAATTATATACAAGTTCTTATTTTATAACAAGAGTATTGTAATGTAGTATTATTTAATGGGTGGCAGGAATATAGAAATTCCGTCCGGGTCACGAACCACCGTCCACAGATCGCGTTTCGGTTTCATTCTGTGGATTTCCGAATATGCAAAGCCAAAATAGGTTGCATAGGACGCATCTTGTTATTTGTTGTTTGTTGGGTATACCCCAGCCTATAGATCTACACAAGATGCATCACCTACCATCTCTTTCAGTTATTTTTATTTGTTTATTGATTTTTGTTATACTAAATTGCCTTACGATTACTCAATTCTACAAAGATATACCTTTAGGCCAAGAGGTCCGTATAAAGTTACGCTTTCAAAAGTCTCTATGCGATATGTTGTAAATCTGAATATGATTGATCGAAATCCATTTATCTGGCATAAAGTTCTGCACGTCTTTCATTTCAGCGGTTCCATTATATTGAAATGTAAAAATATCGAATTTCATGGATGAAGGATAAGATTTTCCAGTTCAACTATCTATATATATATAGTAAGATTAGGTGTTATGTAATTGAATTGTAGCTAAGTTAAACGTTAAACGTTAACCCAAATGTATAACAAATAAGACACTTTATTGTCTTACTTAAAAGGTCCTACGATAGATTCTTGGAGAAGTAGACTAGGCTATTGCGGATGACCAGAACATAGCTGAAATAATCTCAAATTTCCTGTAAGTACCTTAGATGAAACAAATATGGTAACATCAGATTTGCAGACTAAAGTTTATTGTATGTCGATTCCATACCAATTTTCCTAAGAATGACGTATCCCACTTTAGCTAGAACCCCAATCTACAAAAGCACACGATCGCTTAAACTCCCCCCCGCACCCAAAACGATCCGTCCATTTCCGGCAGATCAAAGCCGAGGGCGTCAACCATTCCGCGTCATTTCCTTTATCCGGCTAATTTCGAAGATAAAACTATTAACAATATTTAGTTCCCCTTGTTTCCGATAAATTAGTCTCTACATTTATTACGACCGCCTCCGGGGACTGCTATTTTCAGGACAGACAAGCACCATTTCATTCCATCTACTAATTTAACATATAAATATGATTTGTTGTGGAATGGCCTGGAAACCTATATGAAAAACTTATTATAACCATCAACTTATATTTATAGTAGGTACATTACATACATTGTTGCACATATTAAATGTCATAATATAAAAAGTTCGTCATCAGTTGACAAACACTTTTGGTTTAAAACGCGAAATGTATTAGTTAAACTTACTTGCAAATTATTTTAACTAAACGGTTGGCTAAAAGTTTAAATGGTATATTTAGTTTTTTTAACCGTAAAGTGTTTTATTTAATGTGTACTCTCTAAATTTTTTTTAACCGTGTACTCGCGTAAACTACAGACAGTTTAAATTAAAAATCGATTATAAATTGAAAAAAAAAATATGACGGGCGGGACTTGAACCGGCATTCACCACTTGCTATTTACAAAACATACAATTGAGTAATGCTTAATTTGTTAGCCAGTCAGTTAGGTACCGAGTCCTACACGTTATCGTCGAATTTTTCGGTTTATAATTTATACATGTGAAATATATTAGACAGTTTTTGATTATGTATATATTTTAATCTACACCTCATAGAAATTAAAACTTTTAACAATTAACTATGATTAATTTCGGGTATCAGGTGATTAATTATATTAGTATTATAAAAAAAAAATGTTAAACGCAAGATTTTCCAGTGTATTTCGCTTTAGCCTCTATCAAAGTGGAGTTGGAGTTGCTCTTAACCTCTTTTTAAAAAACTAGAGCGTCAATTAATACTAAAAGGTGCTTTTATTTCAGTGCGGTAAAAAAAACATTATGGACGTAAACAATATTAAGTGACTTACTTTACTTTGAGAAACCTGACTGAACTGATAAGATTTATCCAAGTATTGACATAACACGATTTTTTTCGTGAAAGACGACGTTTGCGACACAAGGTCACATTGTACCCTATTTTAAAGTTGACTTACTTTGTTGTTGACCTATATAGGTTATAACCTAATATATATAATAAATGTACATTAGGTATTAATCTTTGTAATTTGTATTTTAGAGTAAGGACTTTATAGTCATTTAACGGTTCAAAACGCCTATTCACAATTTATTTTAACTAT